ATTTTCTGTAAGTTGGCATCTCATTTCATGTCAGTGGATTAAGAAATTAATGAAAAGTGGCTAGTCAATCTGACACTTCTAAATTAAGAAATGACAAAATTAAACGGGGGAGAAAGAAAAAGAGGATAAATAATTGGCTGGAGAAAATCTGACAGAAAGAGAAGTGGAAAACATGGCAGCAGAAGAGGACAGAGTGGAAACAGAGTAAGCAGCGGATGCTCCAGGCAATGCCATCTGTGGGTGGATCCGCTAAGGCTGCATGCCACACACCTGTGTGGAACTGCCTGGGAGATAAGGCCCTCAGCACAATGGCCCTGTGGCCACCTGCGCTGCCAAACAGGTGCACAGCCCAGCCAATTAAACTATTAGACAAACACAGGCCTCTGGGAGCAAATTAGCAGGCTGCCCAAACATCAGAGGAAAAACAAAAAGCAATGGTAAGCATTCACTGTGAAGAACAACAACACTTTGATGATGAGACTTTCATTTCAGTGTATAGAATCAAGTTTAAAAATGTTTCCAGTATTTAAACACAGAAATTTAGTTTTTTGATATAAATAGTATAAAATAATATAAAAATTGCTTACCATGTATTAGGGATCAGGGCTATATTTAGCTATTAGATGCCAAATGACACTAACATTTGTTGATTCATAGAAACATGATACATACACAGGTTTCTATAGACAAAGAGGTTTGACTGCAATGGATATACTGTAATAGTTAAGATAGCTCAAGATTATTAACCACGTAAACGTAAAAATACTTTTTGTACATCACCAACTTATGACTAAGCAGTGCTTTAACTAGTCATCTAGTCATTAATCTACTGTAAAAATTGACAGTATATTAAACTTATGACAAAGCCAATTTTTGCACAAAGATAAGTTCAAAATATTTAAACTTTGCCTGCTTAGCAAAAATGTTAGTAACAATGCATGGATCTGTTTTTATCTACCAAATATTCTCCATCTCTTTAAATTATTCATTCTTTGTCTGCCGATTTATGCGGTGTACCCTTCTTATACAGTCTGTGGGTTTGCCCCAGGTAAATTATTGGTGATATCTTAACTAATTTTGTAAGGGTGCAAAAAAACAATATATCTCTCAATATTATGTAATATAAACATGAATACTGAGAAGTTGTTTGTATTACCTTAGATATCACCTGCATGAGAAGCCAAATGAGTATACATTATTAGAAATGATTATTTGACTTCCAAGCCAAATAGACTTTAGGACCAGATATGCATTCCTCTGAGAATTTTGTGCTATTTAGAACTGATCCATCCAACACTAAAATGCTTCATAAATATTGACCCTAAAATTAAATTTTGTTCTTTATTTCACCAAATCAAACACAAGCAAGACAATTTTAGATAACTAGAAAGTAATCAGCTCTCGACAGTTGTAATGGGATTTTGTGCAAAGTAAAATAAACGGCATATTATGCACAAATTATCAGTATATCTCTATATGTATAGAGGCATTTTACCTGTCAGCTTTCACCAAGAAATTAGCAAATTTCTTCAAGTAATATTTGCAATAAAGTCCCACACAAATCTATATTTTAAGTAGGTAAGCTCATCATTATACTACGGTGTAAATTAAAACAAGCATGAATGCACTACTCTGCCATTTACATAATGGTTATTTTCAGTATATGATAAAACACCGTACAAAGGTTACATTAACATAGTGGAGTCACAGGAGTAGCAAACCAAATGTGGATTTCCAGTGTGTTGTGATCCATGACAATTAAGTGCATTCATATTAATTAGGAGTAACCTTATCAATATCAAATCGGTTCTTTTCCCCAAAAGAGAAAGAATAAGAGGCGTGAAGTCAAGCATGGGACCGTTGTTAGTAAACGCTTGCATAGACCTTCTCAGCACACACAACCAAAGGGGTCTTTCTCCCTCGATGGGCCAGGCCATCCGTGGGAGGTGACTCCTCTGTAAAGTACAGGACCCTTACATGCTGGTCAAAGGTTCAGCCATTTGAAAGCACCCACAGGGCAAGCCTGGCCTCACTTACATCCCCTCGACAACAGTTGGCCTTTCTGAGTGGAAAGGCTGACTTGACTCCCCACAGCTTTGCTGGAGACTTCACAGCTCTGCAATCACTCAAGGGATAATTACTTAGCTATTCATTATACTATATAACATACTTTATATAAAATGTGCATTTTAAGCTCAGCACATTATAAATCTATTTATGGTTCCTTTGGGTATGCATCAGTAGCTAATGCTACCTAGTGAGCCAACTGAATATCTTTGTATTATTGTCATGAATCAAACCTGTCACAGGGATACCCTTGGTTGATCACTTCCTCTACTTAGTTTGATATGGAAGAAGAGTGCTGCTATGAATTAAAATGTCCACTGTATCCATTTCCATATATGAATAGCTATAGTTGAGCAGTTTGCAAGAGCACAATTTTTTTTTTCTAAAATTGGTTAATACAGGGATGCAGTGTTAATACTTGTAGTAGCACACAGATTAAATAAAAGCTCCTCTGGGGCCATGCTGGCAGGTCTTTTCTCTGTATCCAGGGTGAACATAAAAAAAGTATTCCACTTATCCGATGACCATTTAATATGCACGACTCATTGATTCACATTAAGAAACACCTCCTCAACAGTGGGGTGGTAAATAATTTAGAGGCTCTGCTGTCACTAAGGGCTCTGTTGCACTAGTGGGACCAAATTAAAATTGAAGATCCCATTTACAGGAGAGAAGGCAGAGAATTTGGGTAACAACTAGAGACAAGACTTACAAAATCAGTGAGGCCTCGTAATGAATGACTCATGAGCCAATCAAGCTCAATAGGACAAAGCAGAGAACCAAAAAAATGGAAAATTATACAGTTCTATATAGGCTATAAAACATTAAAGAGAAGTGCAGGCACCTGCCATTTTTTGTTTGGTAGACTGGAGGAAGGTTGCACACATGTCACAGAGCCACGTGCTTATTAAGGTCTCGGAATGGCTGGTTCTGATGTGGAAAACTAGACTTCCTATCTATTAGAGCTTAATGGACAGAGTGGTCTGGAATGACAGACTCACTTCCAGTGACTATAAACTTGTGCTCGTTTGGTCAGCTCCACCATTTGCTATGCTTGTTTAAAGTTTATACTTTGCTTTCTGGTCTAACCTAGCTGATCAATCCACATGGAACAGGTCCAATGAGGTTCCTTTACATACATCTAATTAGATATAGATGGTTTCCAGCTGACATCCCTTTGGCTCTGATTAATGTGGATAACACTTAGAAGGAAATTATTGGAAAAGTAATTTTAAAGCCATATTTCCTCTCTTTGAAATGTAAATGAATAGACAAAAGGATTCACTGTATGTAAAATTAATTTTGTTTCTAGATCCCATTGAGATGGACAACACCTTGCATTAAAATATATCTAATATGCAAATCCTGCTCAACAGAAAAAATAGCTTGGTATAGGGCTGTGCGATATGACAATATCGATCGTTTGACGTTAGAAAAACGTGTATTGTTTACAATTATGCTCTATTGTTTATATCATTGTGTCGCAAATTCCACACTTTGCTGTAATATTTTGGTGAGGGAACGCCGTTTTGCACCGCACCATTGGAATTCGATCTATTGAATGTCCAAGTTAAAACTAATATCCAACTTGAAACTAACTTCACCGCGGTCTGTTTTTCCACACATTCCAGCAGTGCCAGCCATGATGTGTGTGTCAGTCAGGTAACGTTTAATGACTTGGCCACGGGCATACAGCTTACTTTATAGTTCGCCGAGACATACTGTTCTTGTGATGTTAGCTATAGCAGCAGGAGAGTTGTGAGTATCACAGTCTGGAGCTGCTGTGCTGCTCTCGAACTGTCTCGTCTTCTCATGTTAGCTTTGCAGCAGCAAGTAGCATCAGTTTGCTAATCCACAACCTAGTTAACATTAGTTACATTACATGCTGTGTCATTGTTCACTCTATCATGGTATCAGAATCGCTAAAGGTACCCCAGCTTTATAATGCAATAATGCCATATTTCATAGAATTTACTAGAAATGTTTTATATTGAGATATATATATATATCATTATTGGGGTATGAAATGACCTATATCAGGATATACATTTTTTGTCTCATCGCACAGCCCTAGCTTGATAGCATGAGCAAAACTTATATACATCTTGTGCTTGTACTTGCCCTTCATCACTTGTGTGAGCTTCTGTCAAATCCACTGTGCTCTAGCACAAAAAGTGATTCTTCAGTGCAGTCAGGATGGCATTTGGTACAAGCCACTGGCAAGTGTTTCTGCTTCGTTCATACATATTATATAAGTGCATGTGCAGTCTATTGGGGTCATGTCACATAAGACATGTTTCAGTATATTTTTTAGAAAGTGTAACGAAGGCCACAGAAAATATTTTTAATAACACTGCCTTCATAGAGAAAGCAAACGGTTTTGTAAAATCAGTCATGAATCCACTTCAAACACACAATTAGCACACATTATCTGAAAAGCCACAGGTTATCAAGATTACTATCACTCTGGTCCTTTCCACTCCCCTTTTGCTAGATAGAATGATCCCAGCATTTTCTTGGTAAAATTCACAACACTGAAAAAAGTGCATTAAGCATAACTAGCAAATATCACTGGTGAAATTCTAGTAAAGTATTATCAGCTGTGCGTAAGTGTTCTGTGTGTGCTAGTAGTTTGTTCAAAAGAATACTTTCATACAGTAATGTCGAGAGGGAAACTTTGTGGATAACCTATCAATCATAGTGATGTTTATCCTAATCATTCTGGGACTTTTAATACTTAACAGCCAGCTTGCATCCTGACACCTCATAATATCCATTTTTCTGTTTTTACAGTTGTGACCTTCTATAATCATGCCAATGATAAGAGCTATTCAAATCAGTGCTTTGAGCTGTGGTATTGGGGAATATCATTCAAAGAATTCCCAGATACAAAGCACAGTTTGCAGTGCGAGAAAAAAGCACGAGATACTAACCTGACAGGGTTACTAGTGAGAGACACTCTGAGGGACTCCAGGCAATTGAGCAGCTTTTCTTCTGTGATGCCAGAACGCAGCTCATGGACATATTCTTGGGATGAAAGTGTGCACTCATGCTTGCTGTTCCTCAGTCCACCCTGAAATCAAAATATCGACAGAAAAATCGTTAGATCACCCAATGTGATAAAAACGATTGTCAATAACACAATACCAACAGTTAAAGGACATCCGTGTATGATTTGCATCGTAAATGCATACTGTAGAGAGGTTCATGAACAATTACAGGAATATTAAATCAGACCATTAAGAACAGACTCAACAATACCATGAAGAGGGCTTTATATTGCCGAGTAAGTGTCTTGTGTTCTCAGTAGGGCTGACTCCCAATAGTCCAAGATCCAATGCTTCGATGGGCGGAGCCTGATTCGACTGTCAATCTCACAGTCGAAGCTTCGCAGCAAAACAAGGATCATGCCATTTTGGCGATATGGGGGTGCTCAACGTCTGATCTTACATAGAACTACCGGTTTTCTACCAATAAGTTAATATACAGCCTATTACAATATACATTTCAACGTTTAATGCTGTAAATAAACATGTAAAAAGAATAAAACTTTCAATAAATGTTTTCAAAAGTGCGTAAATAAATCCAAAATTGTAACCCTGTGTGTGTGTGTGTGTGTGTGTGTGTGTGTGTGTGTGTGTGTGTGGTGGCAGAAGAGGAACACTTGCTGAAGAGACTGTCCCCCTGCTTCACTGGTGTTGTGCCGAGTTGTCCGTACCTCGCGGGACTTTCGGACAATTTATCCGGCATACGGCATGCACGCAAAACTCACACAAGACCGGTGAATGACAGGCAAGTGAGAGAGAGAAAACGGTCTTCAAAAAGCCTCAGTTTTACTAGAAATTTACAGTGCAAGTTGAATGAACAGAGACTGCAGCTCTGCAGCAGCTTTTCAAGATTAAAGCGGAGCTACCGTGTGTAAACCCCCCCCAATCGCCTCGCACAAAAACATGATTCGACTATCAGTCAACTATAGACAGGACTTGACGATTCTGATTCGACTATGTAAATCCTTAGTCGGGGACAGCCCTAGTTCTCAGTAGAAGTAGTTGTTGAGACTTGTCTTAAAATGTGGATTCTTACAAAGGTGCAAGTGAAAAAAACTGGCAAAAACATCTGTGTTTTAGAAAAGGGATGAGTGAGTGTCTAGATACTCTTTTTCTCAATCAGCCAATACCCTAACGATGGACTATACTCACAGAGAGCCAAACACAGGCTCTACATGCTATCTGCGGCAGCTTCTGCTTAAAGTAAATGGATTCTTGTGTATAATCTCCACAGAGGACTCTGGGGACATGTTGCTACACTGATGCTTACACAATGAGACTACCTATTGGCAGCAATACACGTACTTACACCACAGCAGGGAAACACACATTTAGACACACACACTCTCTCGGCACACAGTGAGGTAAACATTGTACATTACATTGCACTGCAGCTTGATGAAGTTACTAGACTAATTGAGTCTATTGTAAGCCTTTCCATGAAGTCCAATCAACATACATTTTGAGGAATGCAAATTTAAAAGCTTTGCATGCAAACTGATCAATTACACTACATTTTTCTACACCAGGAATAAATCTGGGTTAAACTGTCAGGTTTTGTTGTCAAAATGAGCTACAATTGAGGTGGGGATTGAGTCAAGGTACCATACAAAACAAATAGAGAAACCATGCTGCAGAAACAGCGTCACATATGCCTGAACCAGACTGTTAGACAAAATCATCTTCACTGTGTTCATCTTCCCTGGACTGCTGGTTCCCCACAAAGTGAGCTGTGCTAATAGGCAGTTTGGGAAGTAATAAGCTAGCTCATTTATCTGGAGAAAAGAGAGGCCTGCTGCTCTCCTGCAATGCACAGTAAACATGAAAGAATCAGAATTTGTTGTTGGAAAAGGCAGAGGCAGTCTAACAACAGCAAGCTACCAATAATTCTGCTTTAGGTGTAAAGTGAGCTCATAGTCTGATTGGCTGATAATGACAAGAAGTACTTATTTAATAAAGGACAACTTAATTCACATTCATCACCCTGCAGGGATGATTCCTGCTAAAACCAAGTAGAAGTGGTGCCTCTTTCACAACAAGTCAAAATTATAATTAATTATTCAAAGTAGAAATGTAAGCACATATAGCTTTTTTATTTTATTGTCTTTATAAGTAGGACATTTTGCACCAAAAACCAAGCGCTTAATTCCATTCCACTGGTAAGATTTAATCTCGCCATTCCCTTTGTTATGGGTAGACGAACCATATTTTTTCTATTTTTATTCTCTGCCATGGCTTTATACATTTTCATATGTTCTGCTATTATTATTGCTAGCACACAAAACATAAAATCTCAAAGCAAGTTAAATCTGAGAGCATACGTTCACATAATTATCTAGTTCTCCAAACTATAGTTTGATTTCGTTATAAATCCATTTTCTGTGGTTCAGTCTCTTCTCCATCTTTCTCATCTTCATCTATACAAACACTTATGTCGTTCATCTTTTTCTCAAGCACAGTCAGATGAATGTGGAGAAGTGACAGGCTTAGCTTTTATCTTAAGGCAGTGATTAGGCCATGGGGAGAGATAAGAATCCATCTCATTACTATCTAGATATTTAGTAATCTAGTAATTTGTGTTTGACTCCTTTTTGAAAAATGTACTCAGGAATTTTATCCCAAATAATCTATGAACTGTGACTGTGTGTGTGTTTCCCTGCATCTGCAAGAAAACACAATTTCTTTCTTTAGACTCTTATTATGAAGCTGAAATCTACTTTATTAACTTGAATATGTACAGTTCAAGTAATTAGCATTTAGCACAGCACAAAAATCTTCCATTGTCTCACTAAAAAGGGTTCTTAAATAGGGTATGTGCAACCAAGGTATGCCTCCAAGGGTTACTCAAGATGATGTCTAAAAAAGATATATGAAAACATTCTAAATTAATGTCATGATATAATAATCCGCCAATATAGGCATGATGAAATAATTATATAGGCCAAGCAGTTAGCTAGGTCTATTTAGGGTGCCTTTTTAACATCTGGCCAGGAACAACAGATGAAAATGTGCTTTTTTATTACACCAGTTCAGAGAAAAAATATTTTTCAAATCATATTTTTTGGAACTGCAATGCCATTCTTTCGTTTTAGCAGGACATGCATAAGGTTACAGAGAGTGTACTTGATATTAAGATTCCGTTTAGGCTTGACATACTATACCTAAGCCAATTATCTGCAAATACAACTTTAGTATTAGTTTAGTAGTATTTGAATTAAAATAATTTTAGCTGCAAGAAATAAAACAAGAAATTGGAATTACTTTATTGAAATTATGAAGGATATTCATGTAATGGAGATATTGACTTCTTCTTTAAAGCTTCAGATTTTAGTCATATTAGGTTAAACAGACACAATACATTAGTACCATTGAATCTGGCTATTTCTTAAGGTGTAAATAATGGAATTAGCCAGTGTTTTCTAAAGGAAAGCAATGAATGTGATTCTTTTGTATATGTATAATAAAATGCCAACAATATAACTAAAACTTGATGAACCACCACCACTGATGAAATCCAGCCTAAATAACATAAATGTTGACCCAAACATAGCAAGACAATATAATGTAGGAGAAAAAACACTTACAATTGCTAATGTAAATACGCTTCTTACATCACTGTGATTCCATTTTTGGATATGGCTGACAAAGCGACTGCATTTTCAAAGCATTACTTCCTCAGTAATACATAGGGCAGTGAGAGGGAGACAAATTGCCGACTTTTTATTTATCTTCATACCTCTCAGTAGTTCCCAGCAAGCATACCACTATGTCCAGAAAAGCTAGAGCTCTGGTTTCACCGCATGCTCTGACCTCTGGAAACCAAAGACACTGACCATAAACTGCTTTTTCATGACCCTAGCCCAAATCAATGGAATCCTTTGGGATAATATCAACATTACACCACCACACTGGCAGCAGGGAAACAATTTAAGGATTAGAGGGAGGGGACATTACCTGCTGGCTACTGGGAAATAGAGTTTCCCCCTTTGGGCTCTCATAAATGGTCAAGAGAAGAAAATGGTCAAAAAGAGACACTAGAGTAAGGGAGCAAGGGAAGCTGTAGGGATGAGAGAGAGAGAGATGTTGTGTGGGTAGTGCAGGGCCATGTAGCAGGTTGTAAAAAGTCAACAAAGCAGAGGTAGTATGAGGGAGATAGAAAAAGTAGGGGTTGGATATAAAAAGAGAGTAAGAGTATGGGGGAGAAAGGGCAAGGCATAGAGATCATCAGGAGCATCAGGAGACACTGCAACCTCAACAGTAGAGGACAGACACAGCCTTTTGACCACAGCCTAGAGCCTCATCTCCTGCCGCTTATTGAATCCCCTATTTGTCGATAACAGTATTTCCTGCCAAAGAAAATAGTGCTGGGAGCAATTACTTCAGCAAGCCTGTCAATTTCATTTTGGGGGGTTAGGGGAGCACTGAGGCTCATTCCCTCCTCCTCTATCAGCTCTGTCTTCCGTTCTCTATGCCATGGGGAGTGACAGAGTGCTGTGCCTTCTATTGAGGGCAGGGCAGGGAGACAATGCCAAGGCGGCTGCACCTCCACATGTCATCTTCACCTGTAATGAGCCTATAACAAGCTGCCAGCTTCCTCATTGCCCAGTGCTATGCACACTCAGGCAGACTGATAGATACATTATTCAGCTTCTTTGTCAGCTTACAGGAAAACCACATGGCGGCAACATGTCTGGTCTGGAAGCTAGAGCTGGGAGAAAGCTGATTGCCACTGCTTCTTCCATTCAGTCTGCCCACCCCTCTCTCTGACACATGCACATATACACAATATTCTAACCAATGTTTTCCCAGCTGTCTTATCTCTTACAGTAGTGTGTGATGAATAGGTGCAATTAGCTCTGTAATTCATCACAGGATGAGATTAGCATGCTACAATGATTTCTTTAGATGGCCAATGTGAAAGTCACCCAAAGCTTTGTGTTTGAATGTACGTACGCAATTTAAACAAGAGCAAAGGTGTTACTATCAGCTTTTAGTAAGCCTTATGAAGCCTTATTTTAAGGACAAG